GTGTAAAAAATATATAATTATATGTATTATTTATTAGTACAAGACAAGCGCGTAATTTAAAAAATATATTTAAATATTATTTAAAAATATGTATTATATATCGAGCTTCTAAAATTAGTAGAGTTATTAAAATTTAAGATGGTTCTGTCTACTGGAAGTACGACAAAAGCACGAAATCATCTAGACATATAAATGATATAAAGCGTGATTATTGCGATGATTGAGTACGCAGTTTATTTATTAAAATATAGATAATAATATAAATATATAGTAAGAGATTCGACTAATCACAGATCATAAGGCAATAATGTAAGAAGTAGCAAAAAATGATTTATTTGTTTACTGTTTGTATCTCATTGTACGTTTTTTGTGTATCTTAATCTTAATAGTTCTTTGTTTCCTAATGTTCAGTGTACTTCAATGCCTAGTTAGTACTGTCACCCGATTCTTATGTTTAAGACCGTCTTAAGTAAAGTCGTAAGTTGTCTCAAATCAATGAAATAAGAACGGATTATATATAGGCCCAATGTGCCATTAAATCACTTACCAACATGATATCCATTGTCGGAGGTGTAAATAAAGTAAGTGTTGTCTAAAAGATTTCGCTCTTCTAATAAATCGTGTACGTTCTTAACGAGTTCGTCTACCGCTAACAAGGTTTCCCATCTCCGCCTGTATATGTTGTCTAATTTTGGTAATATATCGTCTGGCAAAGGGGTTGGATCTTTCCTAACCAGCCAATGTTTATCCTATTTTTAAGAATAAGAATCTACATTGGACTTTACATCCGACGATAGAATTTTATTTATAATTTTATATATCATGTATTTTAATGCGTGATTGTTTTTTTGTATAATATTTTATTTTTATATATGTATGTGTATATTTTGAATGAATTCTAATTCTTTAATTACTTTCCATATTACATGGCATATAAGATTATAAATAAAATATCTTGATTTTTAGCATAAATTATGTATTATCTAAAATGATCTTTAAGAATCCGTGATATTTTGGAAAAAATAATTGCTACATTGAACAAATGTTGTAACCTGATTCACGGGTATATTAAAATTTGGTGTTCTTTTTGCTTTTGTGCCGATGTATTTATCTTTGTGTCTGACTGCGGGTATAAATGGCCCGTGAGGGGCTGGAGGTGCCAACACCATAAGAAAAGGTTGGTCACCAGAGTACTCTTTGATAAAATTTATAGCCAGATTATTCTGAAACATGTATATATTTAATTAATATTTTTTATAT